TTAGGGGTGAGGATCGGAGATCAGGAAATACCAAAGAGCGACCGTTTTCGCTACCTAGGATCTATCTTGCAAAAGAACGGAGAATTAGATGGAGATCTCAACCATAGAATACAAACTGGATGGATGAAGTGGAAGAGTGCATCTGGCGTGTTGTGTGATCGTCGTATGCCACTGAAGCTTAAGGGAAAATTTTATAGGACGGCAATAAGGCCGGCGATGCTATATGGCACAGAATGTTGGGCGGTGAAGTATCAACACATATACAAAATGGGTGTAGCGGAGATGAGGATGCTTCGTTGGATGTGTGGGCACACGAGAAAGGATAAGATTAGGAATGAGGATATCCGAAGTAAAGTAGGAGTAGCCGAAATTGAAGGAAAGCTGAGAGAAAATCGGTTACGGTGGTTTGGACATGTGCAAAGAAGGCCTACTGACGCTCCGGTTAGAAGATACGACTACAGGACAGAGGTTCAGGGCCGAATGGGTAGAGGAAGACCTAGGAAAACTTTGGAAGACTCTAAGAAAAGACTTAGAGTACTTGGATTTAACGGAGGACATGACACAGGATCGAGCACAATGGCGTTCTAAGATTCATATAGCCGACCCCACTCAGTGACTTGGATTTTTCAAGTCTCCAATCGAGAAGTTTTCCCAACTCGGGAAATTAAGGAAACACTACCTCAACCTACATGCTCCACTCACAAAGCTTCAACATACAAGCTTCAACAAAAGAAAAATTCAAAGAACTTAGTGAAGAAGGCTTTGGTGTATTTAACACAATACGTTGAAATGAAACAAAGCTTATTTATTGATATCTCAAATAAGGTACAAATATGTACATATACATGAGTCATAATAAACAAACAAGAGGGAGCCTTCACAAAGGTTGCTTAGGAAAAGTCTCAGCAGTCGGTAGAGCCCCAGAAAGAGAATGCACCGGAGGGGGATCATTCGGACCCTCAGTACTGGACAGCACCCTAGAAGGAGGAGGCATCAGAGGTTGATCATTTGGAGCTTCATTATGCAGTACAGCCCCAGAAGACGAAGGCAATAAATGCCTTTGGAACAAACCCACAAACCTCTGATGATCATGTAAAACTCTGACCATCAGATTCCTTCATCTGGTCTAGCTTCCTCTTCATGTTTGTAGCATAGTTATGTGCGAGCCGGTGCAACTGTTTATTCTCATGCTTGAGCCCTCTAATCTCCTGTTTGAGATTCATCACTTCAGCCGCCAATGATTCAACTTGGCGGGTTCGAGCAAATAGGCATTGGGCCATATTAGACACAGAACCTGCACACTGAACACTGAAAGCCAAAGAATCCTTAACAGCCAACTCATCAGACCATTTGGAAAGTAGTCTGTTATCTTTGGGAGTGAGAAGGTTCCTGGCCACCACTGCAGCGGTCATATCATTCTTCATCACGGAATCCCCAACGGTAAGGGACCAGTAGGGGATAAGAAGGATGAGCGCCATATGTTGTCTGGAGAAGGCGTGGCTGCCTCTTCAACAAGGTTCAAGTCAAAACGACGGTCGGAGGGGCCAGACATTTTCAAAGGTGTTGAAGAGAGAAGAGGTCGGACAAATCAAGATCTTAGAAATGCAAGAAGGGAGCTTCTACTGGTGGAGATTCAAGTGTGCTTTGGAACTTAATACCAGCCTCTATAAAAATCTGCACTCGATGGAGCTTCAGAAATCGAAGAGGCGCCTGCTCAAAAATCGAAAAGGCGTTTGCTTTCTCAAAAGCTGGGCTGCTCAGAGACCACGAGGGCCGATCTCAAGAATCGAAGAGGCGTTTGCTTTCTCAAAAGCTGGGCTGCTCAAAGACCATGAAGGTCGATCGCAGAAATCGAAGAGGCGCTTGCTTTCTCAAAAGCTAGGCTGCTCAGAGACCACAAGGGCCAATCTCAGAAATCAAAGAGGCACCTACTTTTTCAGCCTTGTCAGCACCTGTCACATGCACACTCAACTTTGCAGAAATTACGGGCATTCTGTCGAAGATTTCTGGTGAAGTAGAAAGCACGTGAATATTACTGTTCAATCATCCACTTTCCACACGCAACATCAGCTCACGGGTACCACAGATAACTTTGCCAAAAATCTCTGACAAAGTTTAGATACATGAAGCTTGCAGCTCCCATTACATCGCTATAACCAAGAAGGGTAAAAGATTAGCAAAGAAATAGCACTAACAAAGTTTAGACACATAAATTTTGAAGGTCTAGCTACCATATTATTACCCACAAGGGTAAAGGAATAGGACCACTGCTGGATAATTGGAAAGTCTCTGCGTGTCAACCTCTGTGCTCCGTGGCAAGGTAAACTAGCAAACAGGCCTAACGTTTACTCACATTTGAGAAAACACTCCCAACAAGATTGCTTGCTTCAAGATCGAAGAGGCACCGTCCTCCGAATCTCGAGAGCCAGACTCCCAACATGATTACTTTCTCAAAAAGCGATGAGACACCACTCTCCGAATCTCGAGAGCCAAACTCCTAGCAGGATTGCTTTCTCAAAAATGGAAGAGGCACCGTTCTCCGAATCTCGAGAGACAGATCCCCGACAGGATTGCTTGTTCGAAAACCGAAGAGGCACTGCTTTTTCAACTTCGAGAGCCCCTTAGATAAAGCTTGTCTGTAATCCTCACACCGCTTTCTCAACTTCGAGAGCCAGATCTCCTTGGATAAAGCTTATCTGTAATCTTCACACGTAACATCAGCTTTCCAGATACCACAAACCACTTTTTCAAAGTGCTCTGACAGAGTTAAAACACGTGAAGCTGGCAGCTCCCACTACCGTGCTATGACCAAGCAGGGTAAAGGAATAACATTACTCCTTATTGTTAAGGAGACTCCTATATATGTCGACCTTCATCCTCAACGGACAGGCAGACTTGCAAAAATGCTCAACCCTTCCTCAAATCTGAGTGGGCACTCCCAACGAAGCCTCTCGAAATACTCAGCTTTCTTTCCCCCCGAGAATACCTCTACAAACAAGCTACACCAGAGTAAGAATATCTCATATCATCAGGGTTAAAAGCAAGAGTATCCCATATCATGCTTTTTCCCTGTCTTTTCCTTTGGCCTTGTTCTTGCCTGCAAGACAAGGAGAAAGAGAGCAATCAGTCAGCACTTGGAATCAAGCTTCCAGTCCGAAACTAACTGCCTGGAACCCCTTACCTGATTACTTACCTGGCATTGCTCTCGAGTACTCATCTTCAACATCTTATGCTTCCCGAGAAGATACCATATCTGCCTGAGGAACAAATAGGGCAAGTGAGAAGGATACAAGGAAGCATGTGGAAACAAGCGCAACAGAACGCGTGCCGATACATCCACTACTTTGTCAACAGCAAAAGTATCCCATATCAGCAGGGTTGAACGTATTCTAGATTTGATGGACTTGTTTTGACCCTCAAATTCTTCAGTCGGCCTTATACTCTGGCGGAAACCAGAAAACCCTCCAGCCCAGTTCAAGAATAAGCCTGTGGAAAGTTACTTCTTCAAAAGCAAAAGTATCTCATATCATCTTTTCTCCTTTTCTTCTCTTTATCCTTCATGGTGCCTGCAAGATAAGGAGAAGGATAACAATCAGCCGGAACTCGAAATCAAACTTCTGATCTGGACTGATTGCTTGGAGCTCTGATTGCTTACCTTGTCTGTCACCTCTTTCAGCAGATCCCCTAGCTCGGCGACTTGGGGGACTCCTACTACATGGTTTGTATCGCGCTTGACCAAGCCTGAAACTACAAGTAAGCGTAAAGTGAAATTGATACATTACCTTGTGCATCTCCACCAGTTAAAGATACCACCCCTGAAGGGAGGAAGAGTACTTCCAAAGAAGATGCCACATATACCTATGAGACAGATAAGGCAGGTGAAGACGATACCACACTTCGGTACTTAAAAGTTTCGTGATTACGAGATCATTCTCCCACAATATTTTCTAATGTCATTTGTACTAAATCATTCACTTGTACTCACTAAAGGAGAGCTTGAACCTATGTACTGTGTAAACCCTTCACAATTAATGAGAACTCCTTTACTCCGTGGACGTAGCCAATCTGGGTGAACCACGTACATCTTGTGTTTGCTTCCTGTCTCTATCCATTTACATACTTATCCACACTAATGACCGGAACAATCTAGCGAAGATCACAAACTTAATATTTAAGATGATATTCTTTGGTGTATGCTTTTCGCAAACGATATAGTGTTGATAGATGAAACGCAGGAAGGGGTAAACGCGAAGCTTAACCTTTGGAGAGAAGTGTTGGAATCTAAAAGTCTTCGCCTAAGCCGATCAAAGACAGAATATATAGAGTGCAAGTTCAGTGCAAACGGAGGCCAAAATGAGTTGGGGGTGAAGATCGGAGATCAGGAAATACCAAAGAGCGACCGTTTTCGCTACCTGGGATCTATCTTGCAAAAGAACGGAGAATTTGATGGAGATCTCACCCATAGAATACAAGCTGGATTGATGAAGTGGAAGAGTGCATCCGGCGTGTTGTGGGACCGTCGTAGGCCACTAAAGCTCAAGGGAAAATTTTATAGGACGGCAATAAGGCCGGCGATGCTGTATGGCACAGAATGTTGGGCGGTGAAGCATCAACACGTAGGTGTAGTGGAGATGAGGATGCTTCGTTGGATGTGTGGGCACACGAGAAAGGCTAAGATTAGGAATGAGGATATCCGAGGTAAAGTAGAAGTAGCTAAAATTGAAGGAAATAGGAGAGAAACTCGGTTACGGTGGTTTGGACATGTGCAAAGAATGCCTACTGACGCTCCGGTTCGAAGATGTGACTACGGGACAGAGGTTCAGGGCCGAAGGGGTAGAGGAAGACCTAGGAAAACTTTGGAAGAGATCCTAAGAAAAGACTTAGAGTACTTGGATCTAACGGAGGACATGCCACAAAACCGAGCACAATGGTGTTCTAGGATTCATATAGCCGACCCCACTTAGTGGGAAAACGCTTTGTTGTTGTTGTTGTTGTTGTTGTTGGTGAGAAAACAAATTGTAATATCATTAAAATATAAGAATACAACTATAAATTTGCATAACTGACATTTTATACAATTTTGTACAAATGGTGGAAGCAAACTTTAAAAAGTCTTCGAACCCTTTGTTTCCAAGAGCTCAATCATCTCAATAACTTGAATCTGATCATCAGTTGCAGCCTGCACCCAAAATCAAACCCACAAATTTTGTAAGAATAACGTTTATCTCAAGTCCAACTGTTAAAGTGATTAGAGTTGAGGACAACACTGAGATATGATCATATAAATACCTGGGACAAGTAGATTTCCAAGGGGTTTGCAGTCATAACTTACCATACAAAAATCTCCACAAATTTGCTGCAACCCTTCTGCAACTTCAACTACAAACATATTAAATTGACAAGTTCATGAATATGCAGACCACCTTCAACCTTGAAACAACAAATGATCTCCCAATATGCGTGGGTATTCAAGAATAAGATAAAGAAAGCATAGATACCATATTTATGACTAATGGGCAGAAGACAAGATACAAACAAAGCATTTACATATGAATGAGGGAGAACAGAAATAAGAATGAAATATCAGTGAAGAGCGCGCGTATACTCACACATATACAACAACAACAACAAAGCCTTTTCCCACTATACTCACACATATAAATGCATTAATATTTTCTCTTTTATTTTCAGAAACTCAAAAAACCAGGAAATTCCAATACAAGAGTTTAGGATAGAAACATACAGTTCTTTCGAGAAGGAAAGCAGCCCCTGCACCTAAAGTGGCTCCAATTGAATCTGCAACAAAGCCAATAGGTAGCCCAAAAATATAATCACCACCAAGCTGAAACATTAAAACGAGGAATCACAAAAGGGTGCAAACTTGCAATTAAATAAAAAATAAAAAATTTCTTTTTTGAAAATCTTCCTCTCTGTTTCTCCCTAGACCATGAATTGATATTGCAGAATATAACAGTAAAAGAAAACTATAAGTGAAGTATGCAAAAACATATGCTAGATCATTAGTCCACCAGAATTAAAGTGGAGTAGCAACAATTGCTAAGGCATCGGACAAATGCTTACAATAAGTACTAAATGTTATATATTTAACACTTGTAGGATTAGACTGAATGCAAAACATATATATAAAGACATTTAATACACAAGTAGCTGTACAACTAGTAAGTAGACCAAAATGCTTAAAGTAAGTACTGAATATAAGGATTAGATTGAATGTAAGTGGTATTAGGATCCCATCTTAAGCGGAAAATTTGCTCCGGCCACAAGACAGTCCATTTCATCTGCCTTGTCAAGAGAAATCCCAAGCTTTTCTTTAAAAAGATCTGCGTAATTGAATGCCCCACCACCTGCGGCCTGCTCACCATTGTCATGAGTCAATAAATTAGCTTGTATACATGCCAGAAAACAGTGATACAATGGCCAAACCAAACAGTTGGTATTACCATAATAACGCACTTCGTGCGCCCAGAAGCTCCATGTTGTTGGGAGCCTGAAATCATCTACAACCATAAGCAATGACCCAAAACAGAAAATGATAGCTACAACTACTGAACAATCAGCTATATTCAGGGCATATATGATCTTCTTTCGTATTTCATTTTCAGAAGTTTAAATCTTCTGAAACTACAAAACTTTTGCAGTAAAAAATATGGGTACTAATTACTTAAGCTGAAGTAGTTCATTTACCTATAAAAATGGTAGTTTGAACTTGCAATCCAAGATTTCAACATGAACACTTAGTTTAACAAAACAAGGTTAAAAAGTCTCAATTAGTGAAAAAATGAATCTTCCCATATCCCAAGTTGATTGAAACGAAAAATGATACAAATGAATCAGGAGATGGAAAGCAATCAAATACTTTTTAAGCATTAAGCATACCAGTAAGGCGAAGTTGCTTGGATCGAATGAAGTCTATACAGTCATTGATTTTCTAAGTTCCAAACTTTGCAAAATGGAGCTTCCCTTCAAGAACAGGACGCCCTCTATCGCCATTAGAAGCTGCTAAACTCTCATTGAAGAAGACGAATCGTCACTCTTCGTTGAGAAATACACCAATTTTATCAGAGAACCTGCCAACAGACAAAACAATCGAAAAATCATGAGAATTTGAGCAATTGGACTCCAAAAATTAAATAAAAAGCCAGGGTTTTGAAATCTCTGTAATTCCAACGTTCCTAATTTCCATTTTGGGTCGGCTTCCTCTTGATTTGAGCTTTTATGTTGGAAAAGAACTTACACTGAAGGACAGCCCAAGAGGAGAGGATCATCTTTACCTATTGGGTCGAGGTCTCCAATTCCGGCAAGCTTGGCCGTAAATTGGCCGGAAAACCCGCGGTTACCGTTTCTTAGATCTGAAATTGAAATAATTCAGCTTCGAATTTGTTGAAACTAACTTGGGAGTTGGAAAGAGGACGGGAAGAGGATTTTGGAGGTACAAGTTGACGGTCGTTGGTGTTCTCATCATCGTCGTTTGTCTTCGACTCCCATTGTCGACGCTGTTGCGTGAAGAGAAGAGGGAGAGGAGAGATAGAATGAAGCGAAGGAGGCGTTGGACGTTTGTGAATGGGAGAGAGAGGATTTAGCTTTTTACACAAAAGCAAGACACCAATCTCAGCTTAAAAGACACCAAAAATAAAAGGACACCAATCTCAAATAGGAAGGCCACTCGTATTAGTGGCATTAACTAAAAAGACACCAAAAAAAGCCAAGAGTGCTATCTTTATGTCTATGGTCACCAATTGCAAATAGTGTGTAAATATTGTTGTCCTATTGCCATAATTCTAGTAGTGTAAAATATTTTCTTAACTACAATTAGGCGTCTTAACTGTTGTGACATATGTTCTTATCAACATTGTGATTGTGTAAATTCTAAGTAGAGATAAAATAGGAATTATTTGGAATCTAGAAGATCTTTCCTAATATGCTTTGTATTACTGGGAAAGCAAGTTTCTCTCCTCCTTATTACTATAAATAAAGGCACAAGAACTGAGGAATTAATACACAATTCCTCAAGCCTATTCTCCACTCTCTTGTCTCCCTTTGTCGCCAGCTCTCCTTCCTATGTCAGTTAAATATAGGCCACAACACGTTATCAGCACGCTCTTCATGTTGTGCTAAAGAGAATTTATTCGTCTTCAATTAGGGGAGTATTACGTTTCAATTATTTTTAATTGATTAAATTTTGGTTTTCTTGAATTCATATACTTTTATTGATTCAATTTAATTTTTTTCTTATGTTGAGCGTGACACAAGCTTTAAAGATGGAAAGTCAACGGTTTTTATCTTGATATTTTTGCAGCCCTGATAGCATAAACATTCACCATAATGCATGACCCAACTTTTCGTTTTTCGAATTGTAGATTCTACATAAATTGTGTATGCATTATATTCATAATTATAAAATTATATGAATTGATATTGCATGAAATTAAACTATATATATATAATTGAATTAAATTAAACTTTAAAAAAAATTAGGGTTTCAAGACCCCAACTAGTGAGAAATGCAGCTGCGATGCATTAGAGCACAGCTCTGCTGTGCTGAGAACCCAAGAAAACGATGCCAATTGGCGTCATCCCCAACCTAGAAAGCCTTGCCAGAAGCTGAGCCCACAGCTTTGCCATTCTTTTTCTGGACATCACGACCTGCAGTTGTGTCCCCTTGGGGGTTTACTCCATCATCTTTGACGACGTCCCTTGAATTTCCCGTTGAAATTCATCGAAATCAATAGTTTCCTACATCAAATCCCCTCGATTCTACCTTTTTTTCCAACATCGAGGATTCTCCTCCGTCGTTAAGACCGGTTCTTCGATGAACCACCATGCATCGCACCTCACTCCTGAGGTTTCTCGACCAAGATTATGTTGCTAGAAACGCTGGCTCCAGTTTTCTTCCTTGGTGAACCCACCCACATCGTTGGGATTCTTGATTGGACCCTTTGGGCCTGGATCACCTCGGCCTACGATAGGGCCTGCACTCAAGGCCTGCTACCCCTCGCGCTCAGCCCACATGATACCAGCCCAATTGGGCTCGGTGTTCACATGTCCACGTCGCAGGAGAACTTATTCCGCTTGTTTATTGAGGATTCCCTGCATCGTAGCACACTGGATCGCACCCTACTTGGGCCTTCCCATCTGGGCCTGCGTCTACAGCCCTTATCTGTGCACATGAGCCTGGCTTTTCCAGCCCAATTTTGGGGCTTGGACATCCTATATATTTGTTTTTAGAATTTCAGCCACTAGTGGGCTTTGGTCCATTTTAGGCCACCAAATTTAATCACTTAATTTTTTTTTTTTAGGCTTTGTTGGGTTTATATTTTTTGCCCAATTCTTCCCATTGGCCCGATGACTAATAATTAATTAAATCACCAAATATTGTTGCCTACATGCATTTTTCAATTGCTATATTTTTATGTCTTGTATATATATTGCGTTTGTTTGCAGGTACTATAAACCTGAAGTTCATACTTACGAACTCGAAGTTTTGAAAAAGTGCCATAGAAACCTAAAGTTTCTTAACGCGCAACACTCATGTTGAGACCTGAAGTTCTCCATGCTTAAATCTGTTTAAAACCTGAATGTTCTAACGTTAATGTTTATGGAATTTTTATTTCTTAAAACACCAATCACATTCTTGTTTCCGCCATTCAGCGTATTGTTGAACCATAATATGTTCGATTTCACTGATTTGAAAGTTTCGAACAAGAAACTATTTTATGTAGATCCAAGACGTGACATCCCCCTTGACAATAACTAGTTGCGAAATCATTGTAGTCAGTTATGGTGTGGAAGAGTTAAATAAGCCTCTGCCATGATCTTTATTCGAAAACTTATCCTTGAAGCATATCAAATGGAAGTACTTCACGGCCGAGGACTCCATGGCTCTTTGACTCGCTATGGACTGTTTCAAATCATGCAAAGATAAATTCTTGCCCAAAGCAAAACATGATTGAAACATGTACTTCCATGAATAGGTAGAATTCTGAAGTTTATATCGTATCAAATTTTGACAGGAAGAAAATCTTTCTCGTCATTCTATATCTACATGTTCTTAAAGTAGCAGTATAGAGAACAGAAGTTTACCAAATTCTCATATCTGATTACAATCACACTTGTGAGAGAATGGTACCCCAGTAATTCGGCTGGGAGCTACCGAATGGTATAGACCCAGTTTCGGCTGGAGTGTACCGAATGGTGGTGCCTTACTTTGGTAGGGGTACACTGACATGCATGTTTTGCCTCGACAAAGGTACACCAACGGGCATGCTCTGCTTTGGCAGAGGTGTACTGAACGGTATTGCTCTGCTTAGGCAAAGGTTACCGAATAGACCCTCTAGTTTTGGCTGGAGCCTACCAAACCCAAGTCTAGATCTGTCTCTCTCTCACAATCCTATTTCGAGTTTGTTTTACAATATATGGTAGAATTAGGCCTGGGAAGAGGTGGTATCATGCCCGAAGCATGATCCCTAACACCTAACACTTCAAGAATAAGGGATACTATTCCAAAACCTCAGCCTTGCAAAATCTTACTTTGTTTTGAAGAGTACCATTCCAGTAGTTAGTCTATGAGACTAATTTTGCTCCACCTAACACATTTGTCAAGTGAAATTTGGCATGGAAGACCCTATTAGCCGAACCCCCTTGTATGTTTGGTTTACTTTGTGAATAATTTATTTTGTTCTTGGATTTAAGATTGTTGTTTGGATGTCACTATTATTCTCGAATAAGAGTTAATTAACGAAATTACCACATGTGACTATAATTAACTCATGCTTAGGTATGTTTTGTGGGGAAGTTAGTAGTCTGGTTATATGTTAACTTCATACCTAATCATTTTCTGACAGCCTTTCAGGCTTATCCAACCTGATTGTGGGGCATGGCACTGCCCTATATTGTCCAATGGTACTAATTTTACTATAAAGGGAAGCCTTATACTCATTCGTTTTGGAAGAATGCCTTTTTTAGCTTTAAGGATGTTCGAGAGTATTACTACCATATTGAAACCAATGTAGAAAATGGAGTAAAATTCCTTGGCATATTACCATATTGCACTTCCTATGAATATAGCCAGAAGCATATTCTAGAGAATATGGAACACTTAATGAGTGGATTACACCCATTCAAGCCCACTATGTGGCTGGCCAAAAGCCCGCGAATTTTCACAATGGATATACATTTGGGATATCTAGGATGATCCGTGATGCGCTGTTTTGGGCATCATTTTGCCAGAAGTAAAGACATCATACCTTGACGCATATTATACATTAGCACCCTCCATCTTTTCTACAAATGATTCAAAAGGGGACATTTATGGATTGATTCAACCACCCTACGAATTATTTAGATACTTTATAGTATTGGTTGATGCTTCTACACATTGGTCACACGTGTGGCTGTTGTCCACAAGCTGCATTCCCCACACTGGTGGCTCAGATTAACAAGCTTAAGGCTCACCACCTTGATTATCTGATTAAATTTATTTGATTTGATAAGTTGGAGAAATTACATCAAAAACTTTCGATGGATATTGCATGTCGATTGGGTTTTGAAGTTGAACATCCAATACCCTATATTCGTACCCAGAACAATCCCGAAGAAGCATTCATTGAACGCTTTCAAATAATTATGCGATCGATTGATCATACCTACCAAGTTCTCGATCTCTACTTGGGGCTATGTAATATTGCAAGCACCCATATTGGTCCACCTGAGGCTCATCATGACCCAATCTTATGAAACACGTGTTAGTTGGTTACTATAAACGAACCCGACATATTGCATCTGTGCGTAGTCTATATGCCATTTTTACGTCGCCTTTACGTACAAAAGAGAAAAAGGGTCCTCAGGGAAACATGTAAATCTATATTGGTTAAGATTCTCCTTCTAATATTCATTACTAAGAATCTTTGACAGGCGATCTCTTTACCGCTCATTTTGCGGATTGTCACTTTTATGAGACAGTCTTCCCATAGTTAGGGGGAGATAAGAACATCAACGTTCCTAAAAGAACGACGCTACTATGTCTCATCTCGATCCCAATCTAGATCATTAGAGTATAACCAAACACTTCCTTTGTTCTAGCAAAAATGACAAGATCACGTATACCAGCTACAAATATGTCTGCAAAGATGTGTACTAAATGTACGACGGACTTTCGTCCTGAAAGCAGGAACGCCACTATTGTGGCTGACCTGTGTACATTGGCGGCTAGCCAATCAATCTGTCCTACAACATAAGTGTGGTAGATCAATCGGTTAAAAGTGAAGGAACATGGCATGATCAAATCCGCCCCTCGATTGCTATCTCAATCCTTTTCATCTTATGAGATTAAATCTGGATTACTCCCAAGACCTGAAGTTCTTGGATTAAATCTGGATTACTCCCAAGACCTAAAGTTCTTGGTCCTGTATACCAGTTTGGATAAGATATGGAATTGGAATGAGGTTATCATAGATGATGTTTCATTTATATGGTAACTACCAATATAAATGAAAAGCGACGATAACAAACCACTTTTCGTTGATTAGTGTCGACGTATAACTGATTGGTCAACTACAAGAATCAATCTATGATGAATAAGATGAATGAAATAATGCGATATGATGTCTTGTAGCGCAAGGCTTCTCTCATACGCCA